GTGTGTGTGTGTGTGTGTGTGTGTGTGTGTGTGTGTGTGTGTGTGTGTGTGTGTGTGTGTGTGTGTGTGTGTGTGTGTGTGTGTGTGTGTGTGTGTGTGTGTGTGTGTGTGTGTGTGTGTGTGTGTGTGTGTGTGTGTGTGTACGTTTGTGTAAGCTTGTATCCATGGTCGTGCGTGTTTGTGTATGCGTGTGCGAGTGCCTGTGAGCGTGCATGTGCGTATGCGTGTGCGTGTGCCCGTGAGCGTGCGTGTGCGTATATGCGTGCATGTACGTGTGTGTGCGAGTGTGTGAATGCGAGTATATGTTGAGTATATGCGAGTATGCGTGTTTACGTGTTTGTGAGCTCGCGCGTTCATGCGTTCGTGAATACGTGTGTCGGTGTGATTGTGTCGCCTTCTCATTGAGGCTATTACCCCTATAATGATATAATCATACCGCGTAAACACATAAAGACGTTCCGTAATTATTTGAGCCGACTTGTGTTTAAAACCAACTCCCTGCGCCGGATTGAAACTGCTTAATGTGTCTTATCGTTAGCCATGAGAGCGGTTTTCCCTGTTATAAGCCCTCTGTACGTGTAAGTCAGTGTAAGCAGCCACAGCCAATATTTGCACTGTCACATGCTTACTCTGATATGTCAGTATCTTCGTTGTTTTTCTTTCACAGGACTTGGGGAAAACATTACGATTTTTGAGCAGGACGGCATTGAGGTATCCGGGGAAAGTATAGGCAAACAGTGGTACGACGAATGCCAAAACTACAACTTTGATAATCCCTGCTGGCAGAAAGGTAAATTTAAGTCCGATCAATAACTGATAGCATCAGATACATGTTATGAGAAGAGTGATACTGAGATACAGAAGAGATACAGAGAGGAGTGATACAGAAGCTGTAGTTCACGCATAACTAACCTATGTTGGGACAATTATGCCTACGCCCAGTGACAATAATTCATTTGTGACCGCTACTGCAACTCCCAGATGATGAAGTGTGAGACGGATGCGCATATGTACACCTGAGTGAGTGAGTGGACTGTGACACTTGCAATTCGAACTGCAGTGAGCTACCGCGATACGTAAATAACAAACAACTCAATATATGTCTTCAGCAGCCTGTGTGCAACGAAAGCAATTTTGTTGACCAAACGGCTTTACTAATCCATTCTACATTGTAATTCAAGGAGTATTCTGTATTTTTCTCTCAAGATTTCTGTAATTTTAAAACACACGCATTGTTTCTATCAGTCTGTAGATAGCTATATTACCTTAACTGCAACACTGGCCCTTTTATTTAGACAAAGGAGCTTGATAACTTCTTAATATATTATACATTTCTATCTGGCCCCTTTGATTTAGGCGAAAGCCGCACTAGGACGCCCTCTGTCGATGTAATTTAGCGAATAATGAAATAACGCAACTTTTTCCCCGCGCGTATATGCTTTTACAACGTAAACAACCACACTCTACATATCACTACTATACTGCTGAGAAATAAAATAAAATAACTTAAGTAATCAATAAAAAATATACAATGTTATAAAAAAAACCACATAAACGCATATAGCTATCAAGCAAAGCTAGCCGTCAAAACTGCCGTTCGTTCGTTACAGGCACGTCAAACTTTACGCAGATCGTCTGGCGGGGCAGCACGGAGGTGGGCGTTGCCATGGTGAGAATGAAGAGAAGCGACACGAAAGCCGTCGCCGTGGCATTCTTTCGGCCGCCGGGAAACACTAACTTCCATGGCAACTATCGTGACAACGTCCTGCCACCGCAGCCGTGCGCCGAGCTATAGCTAACTTAGCAATCACGCCAAAGATAGAGTATACGAGACTAAGACTAGACTAAGACTAACGAAAAGACGTCGAGCAGCGACGCTGACGTTGCTGCCGCCGTCACAGACACTTGGAGCGTTTCAATAAAATATAATGCTAAATAAATACAAAATCCATTTACTACCAAAGTCTTAATGTTTCTCTACTCTCTTTCGCCTATTATTGTCGACAATTTCCTGTGAATGCCGTGCAAATGCTCCTGTGCAACACACATGTACACCGCATGCACGCTGCCGCACACTGACACATAAATATTTAGACTAAATATAATAATATATATAATAAATATATAGACTATATATTTATGTGTCAGTGTGCGGCAGCGTGCATGCGGTGTATATGTGTGTTGCAGAGGAGCAGTTGCACGGCATTTACTAGAAATTGCCGGCAATAATAGGCTAAAGAGAGTAGAGAAACTTTGGTATTCATCTTTGGTAGTAAATAGATATCGTATTCATTTAGCATTATATTTTATTGAAACGCTCCAAGTGCCTGTGGCCGCCGTGCAAAAATGAGGGGGTAACGGACTCGCGATTAGCAATAATCGATTGAAGTATCGTTGATAGCGTTGTGGTAGTAACACGGCGTAAAACAACTATCCCACGTGCAACAACGGTGCCTTCCTCTCGCGTATATATCGCTGTACGTGTCTGGAGTGCAATCCGTCAACACTCTAAGAGTTGTGCCGTAAATACAATGAATATAAACAATTTGTCTTGGCGGAAATAATGGGAAACTATGCCGGATCAGTTATCAGTGTAAATTAAACAGTACAAATAACGTCGCCATAGATCGCGTGGTAACGTATAGAATAACAACAGATTCTAGTCTCACACTACCCCACACTTAATGCAGTACGTGTTACAATGGCCATCTACAATAAAAACTAGCGCGTAACTGAATAATTAAATAAATATAACAATTAAATAATACATATACAATAAATAAATGAATACGTGTAATAGAGATTCGATGAGATTACGTTTTAGGTAAGTCTATATCTCATCATTATTCATGCTAGTCGGTGCTATTTTCGTCCCTAGCAAGCTCCTTGTGAAATATGGCTATTATAGGAAATCTGTCTTATGGAATTGTTCCGTTATACTACTGATGGAACGCCCAACTGTGCATTTCGGTAAATTAAAAGTATTTCTTATGGTTGTGTCGTTAATGTGAGATGTTCAGTGTCATGTAATGTGTAAGTAAATAAGTAAAAGTAAATTTGAGTAAATTTCGTTTTCTCTGTTTGAGAATTCTTGCCGTCGAATCAATGGTGCGCAAACATACGTTTTTACTCTTTCTATACACTATACGATATAATAGCCTTTTATCATTTCTATGATAATACCAGAAGTAGATAATAGGGAAAGAAAAGTTCCCTATTAGCTACTTCTGATAATACGGAAAAGAAAGAATACATCCATTGTTAAGATAAGAAATATTTAGTTTAAATACGTCATAATTCACGCGCAGTGTAGAACAATTAATCTAGGCAAATGTTTATATGTAGTAGGTACATTTATGTGGCTTATGATATCGTTGATCCAGTCCATCATAGTAGACTAACTATTCTTTGTACTTCGCGGACCTCTTTCTTATAGAATATGAAGAAGTTAATTCTGTAAAAATTATATGATATATGCAATAAACAGTAATGTTTTCGATGTCGATCTGTCGATCTTCCCTTCGATGTGGTGCGCTACATTATTCCGAGAACTCAAGGGCAAGCTAGCACGTTTCCCGACTTTTATGGCTTGTTTAATATGCATGTGTAGTAAGATATATGTCGATATATATATATATATATATATATATATATATATATATTGTGTGTGTGTGTGTGTGTGTGTGTGTGTGTGTGTGTGTGTGTGTGTGTGTAGTGTGTGTGTGTGTGTGTGTGTGTCGTCGTGTCGTGTGTGTCGTGTGTGTGTGTGTGTGTGTGTGTGTGTCGTGTGTCGTGTGTGTGTGTGTGTGTTTGTGTGTGTATGCATGTGTGTGTGGGTGGGGGGGGGAGTGTCTCTGTGTGTAGGTATGTGTCTGTGTGCATGTGTGTGTGAGTGAGTGTCTCTGTGTGTGGGTATGTGTGTCTGCGTGTATGTGGGTGTGTGTGCATGTGTGTGTCTAACTGTGTGTGTTTGTATCTGTCTGTCTGTCTGTTCATCTGTGCGCGCATTGCGATATCTTCCTAATCTTATTACCTTCCTTTGAAATAGGTCAGACTGATTAACAGGCAGACAACTGCATGACATCTGTCATGTATACTTGTAACTGTAACCTTACGCTAACCAAATTTACTGTCACAGCTATACGAGATTAGTGTAACGACTGTATGTAAGCATTGGCGCTCACTATACTTGCACACGACCACACATATACGCGCGCGCTTGAGCACACTGTGTGACATGTTTTCACGTCTATTTAGATTTAGTGTTAAGTATGCAGCGGAATAGAACTAGACAGGGATCTCGTTTTTTCTCTCCGGATTTAGCATTAGCTGCCAATCAGACTGACTATTGTCAGACGAATATCGGTTTACATGGTTTGTTTGGCGTGTATATTTATCTATCTTTCGCGTTTTATCGCAGCTGTGCTGGCTTGTAAGTACACGATTATTTCTGCCAGTTGATGACAACGATACGTCAGGGAGCGGCCATGCTATCATTGCGAAAGCGTTTGTTCTATTCAATCACACTCTGCCGCAGCGTTTTGTTCTATGAAGTTTACTATAACTGCTTAATAATAAATATAGTTACAGTATCTGCATGCTATTTATTATAGGCCTACAATAGACACCTGGCGCCCCCTGTAGGGTGTAATGTCTTCCATTTATTTGGTAGAAGATACGTTTCATTTTAGATATTATCTTTAATTATGCATTTGGGCTAAATCCCTTGTTTTCTACACCAATATTTAATATAGTTTAGCTCAAGCTAGTTGTTTGTAAATGACAACTGTTACTATTACAAAAATGTGTAGGATCCAATGTGCTAACCGCTAACTATTTCAGGAAGATAGAAGTAGTTGCTTCCTTCTGGTAGATGGCGGTGCGGTGTTTCTCGTTTTCTTGAGATATTAAGGATTTGTGTCGAGCTTTAAAATGTCCAAATAAGTTAAATAACCCAGTCACACTTGAAACCAGGCTACAATATTTATTACTATTATATCAATTAAGAGCTAATAATACCTATATAATAAGGATTATTAGCTTTTAATTATATGTAGATACAATAACGCAACTCTACGCCTGTGTTTGGTTACATAATTGTATGTATATTATATATACAACTACAAGATAATGGTTAGCACTCATCATTTTAAAATTACGTACGCGCGAGTGATCAGTTATGTTCATAATTTACGAATTACGTATGGGGGAAATTATATAACCCCGGGTTGTCATAAAATGGAGTAATACTGTATTTTGAGTTATACTTATAGTAATAATTCTTATGATTAATTTCGGTTAACACACTTTTTCGTGTGCGCGTTAATGCCGTGTACAATAGGCCATCTTTATTGACATCTTTGCTGTTGACTTCATCCTATGTACATGTATTACCACTAAATACAACATAATGATAACCTAGCCTGGTAGCCAGCTGTAGGACTCGATTGTCGATACTGGTCTGATAGGCAAACAACTATAGGATTAGCCTGGCACGTATAACCATCACAATGTATTCGCAATAAACAAAAGTTACACATGTTCAGTCATACAAACATCTTGTCGGCAAAAACACTATGCTAGAAACACCTATTTTGACTTGTCTGGATATAGTGTGCTACCCAGTATTTATACGACGCGAAACTCTTTATTCTACGAGAGCAGAATACCCACTGCTCTCAGTTAATATCATACACGTTCATATCATACACGTTCATATCAACACAGCTTGGCGATACAGAGCGACTGGAATTACGTCACGCGCGTCATCGTGACGTCACCAGGGATTTTCAGGGAGCTGCATGTTTTGCAGACTTACTTTTCCGCGATTTGAGCTTTACTAATACTGTTTAGACCTATTCAACTTATTACTCTAAGCGTCAACTAAAATAATATATTTAAAATTATGTGAAAGATTAATTTGTGTAATTTTCGCTGAAACGCTCGACACGAAATCTTTACCGCAATAGAATCGGCTATCTGCTTAAAAGGATACTAAACTCTAGGATTTTACTGCATACAACTGTACTTACTGTATAACAAATCGTCTATACCCACACGTACTTGTTACCAGAAGCCTAATTTAATTACGGCTATCAACGCTACGAAATTTGAACGGCGCCATTGACACCCGCGACCGTGCTGCCACCCTGAAAAAGTTGCGCATTTCCCAATATATTTTGCACGTTACAGTCCGAGGGCTAATCACAAAGGTGCAATTATATTTATACCTAAATGCTATTTAACCGAACGATGTTCATTTTAGGACAAATTTATCCATAATATAACTGAAACTATATGTCGTTTATAAGATATTACAATCCTTTTGCTTTTAAATTAATAAATAATAAACACCCTCGGTCTGTAGCCCTTGGCTGAAAAGTCGTTTTGCGCAACTTTTCAGATCGTGCGCTTTGAGTGGCGCCACCGTCGTTGTAATCGATCTGTAGTCGTTAGTTTTAAAACATTAAAAAAATAATATTTCTAATGGTGATTGAACCATGAAACATTTTATGTAGCGTAATTTTAACCTAAATTAACTGAAAATAAGCCTAGAACCTAGAGTAAAGGGTCCCTTTAATTGATACGGAACATTAATTGATACGGAACATACGGATACATCAGGCGCATTCGCTCTAATATGAATCCCAATAGGATTTCAATCGGCTATGCGAAATTTACAGTGTTTACAGTTCGTTGTGCTTAGTGTCAGCGGGTTTCAGTAGTGTGGCAGATATTGGATAACACTAACGACAACTGTGAAATTCTTGAAAATCCCATAAATGTTTGGTGAGAGAAATGATTAACGTCGGCCCTAAGTCATTTCCTTTAGGCGACAGGTCGCTAACGTGTCCGGTGTGTCACACTCTATTGAATTGAATCCTGTTTGTGTAGAATAATTATCTTTTATGGAACACCTAATTACAGCAACAACTAGAGAGGTGGTGGCACGAGAATGAGTTGGC